AGTTTCCTTCTCCCAGGTGGAGGGTCCTGATAGGGCTCCCTCCTCCTTGTCTTCCTCTTCTTTGTGGGCACTCTCTCTTCCAATGCCCGTATCTTTTGCACAGGGCGCACTGTTCCCGCCCTAGTTTAGATGGGCAGGGTCCTGCTCTCTGAGGCTGCTCAGGGCTCCCTTTCACTCCGGCCAAGAATATTCTGGCCATCTCCTCCCTCTGCTTCTTGTTCTCTTTTCTTTGAAATTCTCTGTCCTCTTTCCTATTTTTATCCTGCATCTCCTGTTCCTCCTTCCTTAGCCTCTCCTCCCTGTCCTCCGGAGACTCCCTAGCATTAAAGACCTTCTCTGCCTGTTGCAGCATCTCCCTAATAGAAATCTCCCCCAGATTGTCCCACTTATGGAGTTTTCTCCTGATATCGGAGGCTGCCTGGTTAATAAAAGAGAGGACTACAGCTGATCTGTGTTCCTCTGCCTCTGGGTTTATAGGGGTGTATTGCCTATAGGCATCAAATAGCCTTTCCAGATACGCGGCTGGACTTTCGGTTTCTACCTGAACAATTGTTTTCACCTTAGCCACGTTAGTGGGCCGTCTTGCAGCCCCCCTGGAGTCCGATCATAAGTGTCTGACAGTAGACTCGGAGCCGCTCCCTACCTTCTGCCATCCCAAAATCCCAATTTGGGCATGTGAGGGGGAACGCCTCATCGATGGCAGGCTGAAGGGTAATGGGCCTCCCATTTTCTCCCAGGACATTCTTCCTGGCTTCATTCTGGATGCGTTCTCGCTCTTCTGTTGTGAAGAGGGTGTGAAGTAGCTGCTGGCAGTCATCCCACATGGGACAATGGGTGTACATAATGGATTCTACCAAACCTATTAGACACTTAGGGTCTTCAGAAAAGGGAGGATTTTGGGTTCTCCAGTTGTAGAGATCGCTAGAGGAAAATGGCCAGTATTGATACTGCTGAACTCCATCTGGGCCACCAACCATTCGGACCAGCAGAACTGGCATGGCTCCTCCTATGGTGGAGGATGGAGCTTCCCCCACTCGGGCCCTGTTTCCTTGAGAC